TGCCAGCTCTCTGGTGTCTTACGCATGTGCGACAATTGGGTTGGTGGGAAAACAATAAAAAGTTATTTTGACCTTGTTGATTTACTACAAAGGGGAAGTACAGAGAGCAGCAACAGGAACAGCACAAAGAAAGTTCCAGGGGGATGGCCTTCGTGGCTGTGTCCCCGTCCCCACACGCAGAGGTCGAGGCTGACAAAGGTTCGTGGAAAACAAACGAGGGAGGGGGCTGCGAGCAGGAGACCTAGGTCTGGAAAAAGTTGTGCGTTACCCTCGGCGAGAATTTTCTTGTCAGTGCCTCAGTTTTCCCAGCAGTCAAACGAGGAAATGTGCTAGACCAAAAACAAAAGATGTTTCGGGTCGGGCCCTGTGAAATTCTCCACCCTCTCTTGGGTTTCCCGCAATACCCGACTTCGTCTTACAGGAAATCGCGCCCTTCTCCATCCCAGTCTACCGGACCGTAGCGCCCCCCCCGCCCCCAGGTCCCCCGTCCTCGGCTACGCTGCCGGGGCGTCTCAGAGGGGAAGGGGGTCGCTTCAGGCCATCTGGGGCTCGGTCTGGGAATTTGGGGCGCGTTCCGCTTGCGGCGGCTCGGGATCGTGCCAAGGAGCCTCGGGATCCCCGCCACCGGCTCGGAGCCGCGCCCGCGTCTCTGTCCCCCGTCTCGCCCTCCCCCGGCGACGCACCGACCCCAGGGGACTGTCGCTCTCCCAGGCAACTGCCCGGCGGTTTCTGGGGAGAGCGGCGACAGGGGACGCCCGCGGGCTGGCCGCTCCCGGCTGCCGGCCCCTCCCGGAGGAGCTGCGCGCTCGGGTGGCGCTCGGAGCCCCGGCAGCCGCAGGTGCCGCCCGCCCTGGGCCAGTCCCGCGCAGCCCCGCGCGCAACGCTGCCCGCCGCCGCCCGCGCCCGGGGAGGTAGGAGTCTTTTCCTTGCTCTCTCCTCGGCTCCGGGAGCCCCTCTGCTAGCCCCCGTGCCCCGGGGCGGAAGCACCAGTACGAGCTTCTTAAAGGAGAGGAGAGAGAACCAAGATCGAGGTGAGTGGTGGTCTAGATTTTTATTTCTTTTAAATAAACCTGCATGGTCAGGGCACTGCTGGGAAGCTAGTAAATTAAAGGGGAAGAGAAATAAGACAAAGGCGGGCAGTCAAGACAACCCACCACAACCAGATAGGGCTGGGATGGAGCCCAGCTTCCTAGTTACTGTGTACCCCCTCCTTGTCCACCAGCCTCTCACTGACTCAGGTCCAGACCCATACAGACTTCAATAAATATTTGCTGGGTGGAGGTAAGCGCCAGGTGTTTCTGACTGTTCTCTACCCAGCTTCTAAACCAGCAGAAACTACCTTTGATGGTTGCCTTCATCTCCACAAGGGTGCTTTCCCCAAGCCGGAAGGATATGAACATTTTTACACAGAAAAATAAAATGCGGTGTATTCACACTGTGGACTGCTATGCAGCCCTTAAAAAGCAGAAATCAGAGCTTGTGAGACCAGCCTGCCTAGATCACAAAGCTGTAAGAGCAAAGGATCACAGCAAGATGCGAAGTGTACCTACTAGTCCCTGTCATTTAGGTGACTTATCTTAAAACACACAGCATATTGTAAAATCATAGAAAGGGGACTGTAAACCACATACTAGATTTGCTGTTGTGTCTGTCTTTGGGAAGTGTGCAAGGGAAACTAATTTGGCAGGGGGGTCAGGTAGAAATAATGTTTACCTGTAATTTTACTATATAAAAATGAGGAAGCAAGGTGGATGAAATATAACCAGTAGAGTGGTGTGTTTTTTCATGACATTTTCTTTCTTACTGTGTTTCTCTGTGTTTCTGAGTTTAAGAAATTCTGTATTTCAAATGCAAACTAAGTTCGGTGCATGAGCTACGGCAGCGAATGGAACAGTTCCATCAAAGTAGCAACTTTCTCATGTCACAACATACGTGATTCAGTTCCTAAAAGACCACACCTCTTACTTAAGGGGTCTTAGCAGCTTAGAAAAGCTCAGCAGTTGACAGCCCCCCAAAATGCAGGCCGAAGCTCGTACGTTAACATGAGAGAATGAGTCTGCGGTGAATAATCTGGTAACTGGCCAGGTCAGGGGAAAATCTAAAAATTTTCTGTGTCCTTATAAGACACATTTTTCTCTCTTAGATTTTCTATGTTCAGGATATTGGTTTGCAGGGGTGGTCACTGTCCTCTAGACATCTTCGGGTGATGCTCGTGTCATCCTACAGACTCTGTGCCAGGAGGTCAGGACGGTGTGGGTTTGGCAGAGTAGAGTACTGTACCTCTGCTGGGTCCTAAGCAGCAAAACAGGAAAGACGTGTCTCCATTTTCCTGCCAGAGATCGTTTCTTTCTTTCTGGATATGAGGGGAAAATACCTAACTTGGTTATCCCCATGGGGAGAAAGTAGGAAAGACAGTTCTAAACTGGCTTGGATACATCAGGTCCAATGGAGAAACCATCACATCCACCTCCCCTTTCCCCAAACAGACACAAAAGTGGTTTCCTGTTGACATATTTACTTCCCGCTAAAAAATTACTGGATGTTTGCTGAACAAAATTGTCTGCATGTCAGGTGGAACTCTGAAACGTGGCAAATTGTAATAATATTTCTCTCTCTTTCTCTGTCTTGATAACTTGCAAGTCAATGCTTGGTACATCTTATGCTACAGGAACACAGGCTACTTGACAAAAGCCTGAGGAGTGAAGAAAAATATAAGAATGACAGGATTGGGGCATGAAAATTATGTGTCTTAAGGTTTTACGCACAAAATGAAAGAAAATGTGATCCCAATCTACAGTGTTAAAAATCTCAACTCGTTAAAATCAATGTTCTCTTTAGGACCAGTCCTCTCTAATGTGATCTGTGGTTCTGTCCTCCCACTATTCCCTGCTTATTCTGGGCTCTAAGTGCAATAATAAAATACAGAGAGTACCCATTCCCTTCTCCCTGGCCCACAGTGAAACACTAAGGGCATCATCATCCCACTTGCTTCTTCCTCCAGCCCCTTTTATACTAAAATTAAAAGACCCTTTTTTTTCTTTCTTTTCTTTTTTTTTTTTTTTTTTTTTTTAGGGAGCATACAGAGTTGAGGTCTTTCTGTCCTGATGTCAATAATTTCCCAGGGTTACTCTGGCCACCTGTTACCACCTGCCCCTCCCCCATACCATTTAATTGGTTGCTTCCTAATTGCTGACTCTTCCTTTGCTCTCCATTTAATGATTCTTTTTAAAGTCCCTGTGGCACTTAGCCAACTATTGGCTTTTAGTATGAAAAGTAGCATTTCCTTAATGAGTCTGCCTTCCAAATGCAGGCTTTACTTACATTTTCCTAATGGGAAAATGAGCTTTTCTTCTAGACTTGCCTAGGAGCTTCTCAAGTGCTTTTTCGGTAAATCCTATCCTTCTCCCAGGTTTGCTCGGGACCCTTTCTTCAATTCTAGCTCTAATCTCTATTTCCATCATGTAGAAAAAGTCCGAGAGGAAATCAATGAATAGACGTTAAAAAAAAATTATATAGAAGGAAATACATCTACTATTAAAATAGTATTCTATTCTTTGCAAATTATGTGCCAGGCATTGCGCTAATTGCCTTATGGACATTATCTCATTAACTATATCGCAGGAGTTGTATTTGTCCCATGAGATTGGCTCAGGCCATATAGCTGAAATGAATTTTTAAACATTGTTTTGTATAAAATCTGGATCTTTAGCCCCCCCCCTTTTTTTTTTCAGATCTGTGTTTCCATGTGGCAACAAACTTTTAGATCTGAGAGCAGTGACTTCTTTTAGATGGAGCCTGGTTTCTGCAGGTGACCAAAGTCCCCTCCAGGCACTGACATCTTCCACCTGGCTCAGTGCATGCACCTGCATTTGTGCCTGGCTCGAATAAGGCATAGGAGCTTGTGATTCCTGAGGAAGGCACTGTGGTTTCCGCCGTCTTAGAGACGAGGGGTCAAGTAATTGGCCCAAAGCCATTGTTAAGTGTCAGTTTCAGAACCAGAACTCTGGATGCTGCCTCTCCTGACCAATTTCAGGGAAAGTTTTCCAAATGAACAAAGCCATAAATGTACATTTCTTCTTACACACATCCCTTTTTGAAGCTTCAGTGTGGCCAAAAATCATGGAACACTTATGCTGTGAAAATACTTTCAGGTATTGTCCCAAATCACATTTGATTTGCCTTTGAGGAGAGGACCATCATCATCTTCAAGTTCAGGGGAAGGGGGAAAAAAAGAAACATGTTTAGTGAAATTTGGCAGTTTGCTGGTGAGGTAAAGCCCAGACTCAGACCTTGTTCTTTTTACGTTGTAGTACCTTCCACAGTAGGAGGAAAGAGGTGGGAAATGTATTTTTATGACTAAAAAAATGATAAAGTTGTTGCTCAAACATCCAAAAAAAATGTTAACAGATAATATATTCTTAACAATATAGAGAGTCACAATGAAATATTTTTATTACATACTTTTTTTTAAGATTTTATTTATTTTTTTTGACAGAGAGAGAGATCACAAGTAGGCAGAGAGGCAGGCAGAGAGAGAGGAAGGGAAGCAGGCTGCCTGCTGAGCAGAGAGCCCGATGTGGGGCTTGATCCCAGGACCCTGGGATCATGACCTGAGCTGAAGGCAGAGGCTTTAACCCACTGAGCCACCCAGGTGCCCCATTATATACTTTTTAAATACAACATTGTTGGACCAGATTTTAAACTTGTTTTCTTACTTAAAGAAATATTTTGCTCCCTTCCTTCTCTGTAAGTCTAAGACCACTCCCCATGAGGCCATGTAGGGGGTTCTCCCAGACACCTGATGTTCTCTGTACTTGTGAAATTATCATTTTCAACACAAAAAATTCTGTTCTGGGGTACAGATCAGGTAAATATTGCAACCACCATATTGTGGTTCTGTGCTCAGGGTTCCTAGAGCCCACCATATTGTAAAGATACCATTTCTTTTTCTCTTCCAGATATCGAGCTAAGGCTTTCAGATCTCTGTTGAGTGAAGATGAATGTTTCTGCCAGGAGAGTTTAATTGGAGGATCTGGGTCTGGGCCGACTTGACCATGGGAGCCAACACTTCAAGCAAACCACCAGTGTTTGATGAAAATGAAGATGGTAAGAATATGTGATTACTGTATATAAAATAGAGAATTTTGCAGAATTCAAATATAAATACCTTGTTTCATACATAAATCATAGTTTAAGACTAAAAGGAAGGAAGGAAGGAACTACAAGAGTAAGCCTGAAAGAAAGAAAGAAAGAAAGAAAGAGAAAGAAAGACTGCAAGAGTAAGTCTGAGGATCTTAGATGCTAAAAGCTGGCTTTTACCTTCCACTTTCCATGAGCCCTTGGGCAGTTTTTTTTTTTTTTTTTTTAAAGATTTTTTTTTTTTATTTGACAGAGATCACAAGTAGGCGGAGAGGCAGGCAGAGAGAGAGGAGGAAGCAGGCTCCCCGCTGAGCAGAGAGCCCGATGTGGGGCTCGATCCCAGGACCCTGGGATCATGACCTGAGCCGAAGGCAGAGGCTTTAACCCACTGAGCCACCCAGGCGCCCCGTTTGGGCAGTTTTCTTAATTACGACTACACCAATACCCTTTGTCCAAAGGGAGCTGTGGATGGGCACCTGGTGGATAAAAGACCTTGAAATGAAAGGATTTGTTGTTCTCTTGCCGTTTCCCTGACAGCTGAAGTTATCCCTACTGCTAGTTGTTATAGAAGATTTCTTGTATTACCAAATTACATCTGAACGATAATCAATATTCATTCTATTATAGAATGGAGTCATGCAAGTAGGAGCCGTCTGAGCTGTTAACTGGCATGCTTCGGGGTCCTAGACAAATTTTGCAAAGCTAGGTCATAGGAAAATGAATCCATATTATTGGAGGAAAGGGAAATTTCAAGGTCAGGCTCAGCCAGAAAAGAAAGAAAAGCGAGGGTTTTCCTGATTCGCTTGCCATCCCACAGTGAGGCCTGTCAGAAGAAGACATCTGCCTCCCCCTCTCACCCTTAGTTCCCATCAAGGAAGCCAGATCAGCCTTGTCAGTATACGCATGGGGCAGCTACTGATAGGTTGGCTGGAAAAAAGGCAGTTCGGGTCCCAGCTAGTAAGCTGTTCAGGCCTCTCAGAGGGAGGGAGTTCTGCTGATTAGACCACAGAGGAAAAGAATAACGAACTGAAATTCCGGAATTCTGAGCACTGGTCCTACTCCAAGCTACCAATGGGGCTCAAGAAGTTTATTTATCCTATCTTCAGTTTAATTTCCTCAGTTAAGTGAGAAGTTAGGGCAAACTTGAAGGTGTTTTGTTTTTTTTAAGATTTTATTTATTTGAGAGAGAGCACACACATGCATGAGGAGAGGAAGAGAAAGGAAGGGAATCCCGAGTGGACTCTGCACTGAACGAGGAACCTACCACAGGGCTTAGTCCCACGGCCCTGAGATCAGGACCTGAGCCAAAACCAAGACTCAGTTGCTTAACCGACTGTATTACCCAGCACCCTTTTGAAGGTTGTTTTCAATTCAAAAAGTTTAGTTTGGAGATCCTAACACCACTTTGCAAAACTTATGAAGCAGCATCTAAATCAGCCACGGAAGTCTACTGTTAGGAAATCTGCTGAAACAGAAAAGGCAAATGACCGCAACTCAAACAAGATAGATACTTTCTACTTTCTCACGTAACAAAATAGGCAGGGAGAAATGTGTGGCTCCAGAGGGCTGCTGCTTTTCCTTCTCTCCCTCTCCCTAGTGTCACTCTTATGCTCCTGCCCCAGGACGCTCCCCACTGCGTTGGCATTCCAGCCACAGGGAAGGGGTCAAGGAGGGAGACTGAACCCATGCCTCCCAAGCCTCTGATCTGGATGTTGTTTATCACTCTGGGGGACAAGCCCAGACCCAGTTATGACTCCCAGACTCCCAGGAAGACTGGGAAACTTAGTTTATTATCTTTTTTTTTTTTTTTAAAGATTTTATTTATTTGACAGACAGATCACAAGTAGGCAGAGGCAGGCAGAGAGAGAAGAGGAAGCAGTCTCCCTGCTGAGCAGAGAGCCCGATGCAGGGCTCGATCCCAGGACTCCGGGATCATGACCTGAGCTGAAAGCAGAGGCTTTAACCCACTGAGCCACCCAGGCGCCCCCTTAGTTTATTATCTTAATGTGGCCATGAGCCTTCTAAAAATAAGTTCTGTTTTGTTACAAAAGACGGGAAGAACTAGCTGTTTAACAGCTAGTTATCAGAGGACAACTAGAAGCTTGCTACCATCTCCGTCTTTGGTTCTTTGGATGGTCTCTTCTAAACACAAATGTCCGACTGCTCAGGATGCCCTGTCCCCAGTCATTCACTATCAAGTCAAAGGTGCATTGTTATTACCTGTACAAAGTATTACAGGGGAACTCCGAATTACCCATTTAGAAAATGGTCTTGGTCAACCTTTCTTCCCACTCTTGTTGCCTGGCTTTGCTTTATCCAGTCATAAAGGCAAAGATCTAAAGACCAGTGATGTTACTTGAGTTTTCCGTCTCTAAAATGAAAAGACGAATAGGCTTGATTTCACTTGTTTGGTTCACTGCACTCCCTGTGGATTCTGAGCCCGTGATGTGCATGAGACCAGAGAAGAGAGCAGGAAAGAGAAGCCAGAATTATTTACTTATTTGAGAGAGAGAGAGAAAACATGCACAAGGAAGGGGGAGGGGCAGAGAGACAAAATCTCAGACTCCCTCCTGAGCATGGAGCCCAATGCAGGGATCGATCTCATAACCCCGAGATCATGACCTGAGCCAAAACCAGGAGTTTGATGCCCAACTAACTAAGCCACCCAGACACCCCACACGTCCTTTGTAACCCCTTGTAGGTCACCACCTTTTAGCTGTTCATCCCCCAGCCTGGTGAGATTAGCATACCAGAGTGCCCCTAAAGACAAGAGCTGAACATAACAGTACAGTCTGTGCCCCCCAGAGGTGATGCTGTGAGTCCGTCCACACACACAGTTGGCAGGCAGAATAAATGAGACAACTTGAGACAGTGTTGAAGTGCCATCAAGGGAATGACTCAGGAATCTTATGGAAAGGGGCAGGGTGATGGTGGAGAGATTCCTTGAGATAGAGTGTGGTCAGAGTTGGCCTTTCTGAGGAGGTGACATCTGAGGTGAAGCCTGAAAGATGAGAAGAAGCCACTAATGCAATGACAAGAGAAGAACAGTTCAAGTACAGGAAACTCAAGTCCAAAGTCCAAATAATGACAAAATCAGAAATAAACAATTACCCGTATCTTAACATTCTCATGCCTATGAGTTTGCATATTATAAAAAGGGAGTGTATTTAATTGCTATATTCACTTGTTTATTTACAAGATCACTGAATTTTTGGAGGGAACGTATGACATTCTGAGCATTCATATTTTTTGATCAGTAAATCCTATAAAGCTGATTTGACTCCTTTCATAGCTCCAGATTGAGCACAAGGTACAATTTTATTTGACTGCTACGAAGCTTCTGACCAAGAAACAAAACAACAACAAAGCACTGACTAATCAAAGAACATTAATGCCTACATCATTTTCTATCTCATTTTTATATAAATAATCAAACCGGGCCAGAATCTAGGGCACTTAAATGAGCCAATTTAATTATTTTAAAAATATTGCTGCAAAGAATCCCAATACATGATGAAAAAGTATTTAATATTTCCTTCAAAGTGTTTGCTGTTCCCAGTAAATAGATTTGAGGAGAAAATGTGAACCAATTTTCCCAAATAATATTTCAAGATTTCTCCTGGAAAAGTGTTTTGATTCACTTTGAAGGTAATTAAAGAAGAAGATATTACCGGGTATCCAGTAAAATAAGCTGTTCTTGCTGGAATTCATCCCGACACTTTGTATTTCATGTTGTTCCATCTGAAGTGAACTTGAAAGCATCATTCTATTAGCTATTTATGCTGATCTTAGTTTGATGAAAACAAAGTGGAAGATTTATAGTGCCGTTGAGTAGAATAAAGTCTTCTCTGATTACTGTTACCTTTTACAAAGTGGATCTCAAATTATACTAGTTTTGTTTTGTTTTGCTTTGCTTTGTGGCCTACGTTTCATATTTTAGTACAAATCTCAGTCGTAACTTTTTTTGTTTTGATAAAATATGCATAATAAAGTGTATCATTTTAACCATTTTTAAGTGTACATACAGTTCAGTGGCAATAAGTATATTCAGATCTGGGCAACTGTCAGCATCATCTGTCTCTAGAATTTTTTCATTTTCCCAAACTGAAATCTGGTACCCATTACACAGCAACTCCCCTTCCCCACACCCCCGGCTCCCTGCCACCCCAGTCCTTGGCAACCATCTTTCTACTTTATGACTCTATGAATTTGACTATTCCAGGTACCTGACATAAATGGGATCATGTAATATTTGTCCTTTTCTGTCCAGCTTATTTTACTTAGTGTAATGTTTCCAAGGTTTATCTGTATTATAGCATTTATAACAATTCCATTCCCTTTTTAAGGCTGAATATATTCTACTACATGTATGTATCACATTTTGTTTATCCTTTATCAGTGGACATTTGGTTGTTTCTGTCTTTGATTATACTATAAATAATACTGCTGTAAACATAAGTGTACAAACATCTGTGAAAGTCCCTGTTTTCAATTCTTTCAGGTGTATTCTTAGGTGTGGAATTACTGGATCATATGGTAATTCTTTAATTTTTTAAGGAAACACTCCACTGTCTTCCACCTAGTTAGGTTTTGTGTTTTGTAGTCAAAGACCGCTTAGCATAGTGGGTGAAAGCCTGGGCTCTGCTATTAGAAACACATATACGCGGATTTGAATCTCAGCAGCACCATCATCAAACACGAGTCAATTTGACTAGTGATAAAGTGTTCTGAGGGGACCTGAAATACCATGGGGAAAAAAGTCCCAAACCTAAGTAATTACTAATGAATTAACATGGGGTGGGGTGGGGTGGGGGACCACCTTTCTATTCTGCAAGTTACTGAACCTCTGTAAAGCCTCAGTTTCTTCCTATATAAAATGCAAATGATTATCAGGCATCCTTCCTTGGGTCATTGTAAGGTTCAATAAAACAATGTAAGTAAAACACTTAGTGGGGTGTCCCAAATAA